TACCCTAAGCACATAATTAACAGAATAATCAACAACTACAACTCAACACTAACACATTCCACTATTACTAATAATACTACATTAAGCATATCAAATACAAACAAACAAGCATACATTTCCATACCATTTATTCAAGGCCTATCACATAAATTAAACACATTTCTCTCGTCCGATAACTTCAAAATAGCTTTCAAAAATTATAAAACAATCTGTGAAGATTCCATGTTGGGAATCTTAAACATAGTTTTATAGAAATTAAGTATATTGTAAATATAAGATTATACGTAAGAAAGGTGTGAGCTAATTGTTGGGAAAGCGTATTGTGCCGAGTTGAGTAACCGGAAGTGGCCTAGAATCGCGGGAACCGACCCCGTCTTTCTCGAAAATTCCAAACGCAGCTAAACAAAGCTGGCGAAATAACAACAGCTGGATGTTTTCGATTAAGAAATGTGGGTCAATCCCGGGGCAATCGCCCTAGAAAAATTGGCTGTCGTGCTGACGAGTGGCCTTATTGCTCAACCCTCAGGGTTAGCTTATGCCCGGACTCATCCGTAATAACTCAATGACCTGAGAGGACAAAGGCAGTCGGGTCACCCGGAAGCATAACAGTATTTTCAAAATGCAACTGTTCCCCACCTCCTCCCGGAACGGATTGATACAAAAGGGACACTCTGGGAAGTGAGCAGTAGAGAGTAGAATCCGAGAGAATACGGGTTGAGTCCGAGTAGAGTTCGGGGTAGACTGCAGTCCGAGTCTGGGAGTCCGCAGTTGAGAGAATTCCATGGAGACGGCCAGGAATTGAAGAGAGAGACGGTAAGCGGAGTGCTGTCACGGTCGGGCCGCCTCGGTCGGGGCGGCCCCGGCGGACCGTCGGACGAGACGCCCAGAGGAACGTCGAGAGAGACGCCGAAAGGAACGTAGAGAGAGACGCCTGGAGGAACGTCGAGAGAGACGCCTGGAGGAACGTCGAGAGAGACGCCGGGAGAAACGTCGAAGCAACATAGTTCGTAGAATCCGCGCCGACTATCCGTCAGGATCCTGTGAGTACAAACTTTTGTCAATTGGTTGGCGGGAGATTTAAGAACAGTTGGGCGGTTTCGGCTACTTTTAATACGGCTATCCCAATAATTAAGTCCCTAGTAGTAAGAGTTAGTTATAGAAAATAAGAGCACTAGTTATAAGTATCTAGAAATAATTGTCCAGTAATAGGGTTGTCTCTGAATTATACACTATTTTTGTTGTACATATTGGGAATTGTTTAGTCACAACAATAAAGGGACTTGATTGTTTGGTCCGAATTCTTGTGTCTTTTCCCCAAACCTCCTTGGCCTGAACTAGCAGCAAATAAGAAAAGGGTGTTCACCCGTCGAGCCCGGGCAACCTGACACATCTTACCCCAAAAAGGCTTGACGGGCTTAGAGTGGAGTAGCTCGCTGCCCCCTCGGAACGCCCTAGCGAGCGACGTATCCGAACCGCGAGCCGCGCTCGGGGAAACCGCTCGTCACACAATCCAAACACTTTTTTCCAAAGTTAAAGATCCCACACCAATAACAAATAAATCTGACGTAATCTACAAGATCAACTGTTTAAACTGTCCGGCAACTTACATCGGTCTTACATCCCAATATCTGGACAAGAGAGTAAAGCAACATATCTATGATTGCAAAAAACCCAAGCAAAATCCTACAGCACTCGCTACCCACCACTTTGAACACCAACACAATTTTGACTTCAAAAATCCAAAAATATTACATACAGAACAAAACAAATATAAACGTAATTTCTTAGAAATGGTTTATATCAACAGAGATAAACACAGCATCAATTACAGAACAGATACATGCAAACTCAGTCGCAGCTACGCCAATATCATTAATCAAATACAATACAAATAACATACATACATCATTACATTACATTCCACACATCAAATACTTTTCACATAGTCTAATTTTCCAACAATTTAGCTTTCCTTTTCCTATTTATCCCCTTTCTATATAATCCTGAAAGAATAATCTGGCCGAACTATTACCAACACATTGTTCCCCTTTGTCGGCTTTTTTCACTTCAAAGGAGCCGACGCCTTGCACAAAATTGTCTTTTATATACCGACTTCCTTCCCCACCTCCTCAAAACCAAACATATATAAACATGAAACAGCAAAATCTCACTGGCACTCTCAACACGACACACAAGGATGGCACAATTACACAGAAGACAAACACTTTGAGTGAGTAGAAATACTTTGTTTGAATATAAAATATATTTTGCATTGTATAAATTCACTTTTCCACATCCTAAATGTATTTGTTAAATGTAAACATTGTTTGTAAATCCCAGGCCCTGAAGATGATCTCAATAAAAGATCGAAACGTTGGCACGATAAAGAAAATGTTTTTCTGAAACTTACATCACACCCGACCGCATCTCACGATATCTTAATTCCTTAAAAAAAAAAAAAAATTTATTGTATTTTTCGATGTAAATCGACCTGCTGAGTCGATTGGAAATGTATTAGGCTCGTAGGACACGTAGGTTTCGAGAAAAAAACAAAAAATTCGAAAAAAATGTTATTGTCTTTTTCGATGTAAATGGACCTGTTGAGTGGATTGGACAATGAATTAGGCTCGTAAGACACATAGTTTTCGAGAAGAACGAAAAAACCAAAAAAATTCAAAAAAAAATTATTTACTTTTTCGATGATAACCGACCTGCTGAGTCGATTGGAAAAGGAATTAGGCTTAGGACACGTAGTTTTCGAGAAAAACGCAAAAAATCGAGAAAAAAAATGTATTGTCTTTTTCGATGATAATCAACCTGCTAAGTCGATTGGAAATGGAATTAGGCTCATAGGACACGTAGTTTTCGAGAAAAACGCAAAAAAACCAAATAAATTGAAAAAAATTATTAAATTTTTCTATGTAAATCCTAAACCACACCAGACCGCATCTCACGATTTCTGAATAATTATCGACTAACCGTCACTAATCACTACACATCTCGACTTAACCAGGAGTTCAAAATTGACAAATCGGAAAAAACATTCTTTTAAGAACTTTTGTTAGTCTTTTGATATTGCCTTAGTTGAATCTATAAGTATTATTTCTATTTTAATTGTAATTTCTAAGTTACACCATTTTAAATATATTGTTTAAATGTTTTTATATATTTACACAATATAAATACATTTAATTAGGACAAATTATTGATCAATATGGAAAAACAGGTCCCAATATTAAAAAAAGTTGCCCATGGGCTAAAAATCATTTGTGTTACAACACACCTATATTTATAGATCAATATTTAAAAAAACCTATAGTTAACGAAATAAGAGAATTTGTCTTGAAAAATTCATGTTAATTATGTAAAAGCATAAATGCCTAAATTGATTGAAATGAAAGTCAGAAGTGGCAGGAATGTTGGCCACCGTGTTGTGTTACAAGTTGTTACCTTTCTATGGATTGTTTGTACTTATCCGCATAGCAGATAATCAGTAAGTACAAATTCTTCTTTTTTACTTTAAACTTTTTGCAGATAACTGATCAAAAAAGGTCAGCCTTTTTGTTTTTCATCAAAAATGATTTCGAGAAGTGAAAGGAAAATGAATGGAAGAGGGCGATGTGTCGACGCCCCCTGAACTGTTCGACTCATTAAACTGTTTCATTTCCAGAGGACAAGTAGATAAAATGACGGATTCCAAGTATTTTACGACGACGAAAAAGGGCGAGATTTTCGAGCTCAAGTCCGAATTGAACAGCGATAAAAAAGAAAAGAAAAGAGAAGCCGTCAAAAAGGTATGTCTACATGCCCTTATTGTTCTCATTAAATGTTTCTCTGGAACTTAAACTTGTTAGGATAAAATATTTTCTCATGGGGGGAGATAGTGATAAAAAAATGATTGATTTAAGTGTTTTTCGGCTTCAGGTGATTGCTTCAATGACAGTCGGCAAGGATGTATCCGCCCTCTTCCCAGATGTAGTCAATTGCATGCAAACTGACAATCTCGAGCTGAAAAAGCTGGTCTACCTTTATCTAATGAACTACGCCAAAAGCCAGCCCGATATGGCTATCATGGCCGTCAACACGTTTGTCAAGGTAAAAACGCCAAATTAATAAACTGGAAAGAATAATCAAGTGGTATGTTTCAGGATTGTGAAGACACCAACCCATTGATCAGAGCGCTCGCGGTTAGAACAATGGGATGTATCAGAGTCGATAAAATCACCGAATATCTTTGTGAGCCTTTGAGGAAATGTTTAAAAGATGAGGATCCTTATGTGCGCAAAACCGCGGCTGTCTGTGTAGCTAAGTTGTATGACATCAATGCTCAGCTCGTTGAAGACCAAGGTTTCCTTGATCAGTTGAAAGATCTTCTTTCCGACTCAAATCCCATGGTAAAACCTTTTTTTTTAATGTAATACAGTAACATCTAGATATTTTGTATCGCGAAGAAAATGCTGATCTCTTGAAAAAATCTTGTTAAATTGTATAAACCAATCCCTTTCAGTCCCCACAGTGTAATTTTTCCACCTTCAAAGTCAACAAAAGGTTTTATAATTTGTATTTTAGCATTAAGTCCCCATGAAACGTATGAATAGAATAAGGGTAGGGGTTTCCTTATAAGGTTGGACTGAGCTTCATGTCATTTAGACCACAAGGACCTTTTGTGACCAATGGTGGGTGTTCAAAATTTAGTTTGTTACTCCCAAAGCCATTGTATCAAAATAAACCACATGCTTACCAATTCTTATTGGAAAAAAAAAACGATATATGTGTACATATTCAAACATAACATTGACGATAGGCACACACAGTACAGAAAGTGTATGATTTGTATTTAGAGAGGAGAAAAGGCTTCGAAGTATGAAATTTGAGGTATTTCTTATTATCTGTGACGGTGCTTGATACCATTCTGGATAACAAGATTATACTGTATGTCTAAACTATACATGAGCATTTTTCCAAAACATTCCAACTAAATGCTACAAATTGTTTAAATTAATGTAGTTTACAGACCTGATAATATAATCACTGCGCAAAACCGCGGCTGTCTGTGTAGCTAAGTTGTATGACATCAATGCTCAGCTCGTTGAAGACCAAGGTTTCCTTGATCAGTTGAAAGATCTTCTTTCCGACTCAAATCCCATGGTAAAACCTTTTTTTTTAATGTAATACAGTAACATCTAGATATTTTGTATCGCGAAGAAAATGCTGATCTCTTGAAAAAATCTTGTTAAATTGTATAAACCAATCCCTTTCAGTCCCCACAGTGTAATTTTTCCACCTTCAAAGTCAACAAAAGGTTTTATAATTTGTATTTTAGCATTAAGTCCCCATGAAACGTATGAATAGAATAAGGGTAGGGGTTTCCTTATAAGGTTGGACTGAGCTTCATGTCATTTAGACCACAAGGACCTTTTGTGACCAATGGTGGGTGTTCAAAATTTAGTTTGTTACTCCCAAAGCCATTGTATCAAAATAAACCACATGCTTACCAATTCTTATTGGAAAAAAAAAACGATATATGTGTACATATTCAAACATAACATTGACGATAGGCACACACAGTACAGAAAGTGTATGATTTGTATTTAGAGAGGAGAAAAGGCTTCGAAGTATGAAATTTGAGGTATTTCTTATTATCTGTGACGGTGCTTGATACCATTCTGGATAACAAGATTATACTGTATGTCTAAACTATACATGAGCATTTTTCCAAAACATTCCAACTAAATGCTACAAATTGTTTAAATTAATGTAGTTTACAGACCTGATAATATAATCACTAAAAACTTGCTGCACTTGGAAATCTAGACAGAGAATTAGGAGAAATCCTAACTAAATAATTTTATTGTAGGTTGTAGCCAACGCTGTTGCTGCTCTTTCAGAAATGAATGAAGCTAGTGTGAGCGGTTCTCCTCTGGTTGAAATGAATGCTCAGACAATAAATAAATTGCTTACAGCTTTAAATGAATGTACAGAATGGGGGCAAGTGTTCATACTTGACTCTTTAGCCAATTACAGCCCGAAAGACGAACGAGAAGCACAGAGGTTTGATGTGTGCTCTTTTGTTTAAAAATATATATATATATATTATAAGTGATTTTATGTTATAGCATTTGTGAGAGGATAACGCCACGATTGGCACATGCCAATGCAGCAGTTGTTTTGAGTGCTGTTAAAGTACTGATGAAATTTATGGAGATGCTGCCTTCAGAATCGGACTTCGTTTCTACCCTGACCAAGAAACTGGCCCCACCTTTGGTCACCCTGCTGTCGTCCGAGCCCGAAGTGCAGTACGTTGCTCTCAGAAATATAAATCTGATTGTGCAGAAAAGGCCAGATATCCTCAAACACGAGATGAAGGTCTTTTTTGTCAAGTACAACGATCCAATCTATGTCAAACTTGAGAAACTAGATATCATGATCAGGCTCGCATCTCAGGCCAATATAGCTCAAGTTCTTTCTGAACTTAAAGAGTATGTCTCTGTTTTATTATTTACATATATTTTTTCACTATTAAAAAAAATTATATTACAGCTAAAATTTAAAAATAATTATTGTTTATTTTATTTAACAATGTTTTAGATATGCAACTGAAGTAGATGTGGATTTTGTTCGGAAAGCTGTAAGGGCAATCGGTCGTTGTGCTATTAAAGTAGAACAATCTGCTGAAAGATGTGTTTCAACATTGCTTGACTTAATTCATACAAAGGTAATTAAAAAATTTATTAATTATTTAATTTGTGTTAATTGATCAATTTTTAGGTTAATTATGTTGTGCAAGAAGCAATTGTCGTGATTAAAGACATATTCAGGAAATACCCCAACAAGTACGAAAGCATTATCTCAACTTTGTGCGAGAATCTGGATACATTAGATGAGCCTGAGGCTCGTGCTTCCATGATCTGGATCATTGGCGAGTACGCAGAAAGGATTGACAATGCAGACGAACTTTTGGAGAGTTTCTTAGAGGGTTTCCATGACGAAAACACCCAAGTACAGCTGCAGCTGCTCACCGCCATAGTCAAGCTTTTCCTCAAACGCCCCACTGATACCCAAGAGTTGGTCCAACAAGTCCTCAGCCTGGCTACACAAGACTCGGACAATCCGGACCTGAGGGACAGAGGATTTATTTACTGGAGGCTTCTTTCAACAGATCCAGGAGCAGCTAAGGAGGTAGTACTAGCTGAGAAACCACTGATCTCCGAGGAGACTGATCTTCTTGAGCCTACACTCCTCGATGAGCTTATATGCCATATTTCCAGCCTTGCTTCTGTTTATCACAAACCACCATCAGCCTTTGTAGAAGGTAGAGCAGGATTGCGTAAATCCTTACCTGCCAGGTTTGTCTTTTTTTTGTTTTGTTTTATGGACATTTGACATGTTTATTAAACGTTTGGTTACTTATTGCATCTAGCAATTTTAGATCTGGCTCAAATGAAGCAGTACACGAACAAACGAATGCAAGCCAGGCGCAAGTCATTCCATCGCAGGATTCCTTGATTGGCGACTTACTAAGTATGGACATCAGTGGGCCTCCGGTGCCTGCACCTCAACACCAGCCCCCAACAGCACAACCTGTTGACCTTCTTGGGCTCGATTCTCTTGTAAGACTTTTTCCTTGACTGTTCAAATGAGATCTTAATTGTAATCCGTAATTTCAAGTTGGGAGGAGTTGGTGATACAGCACCAGCAGCAGTTTCCCAGTCAACGACTGGTCTACTTGGTGATATATTCGGAATCACGACACCACAGCCTATTGCTTATGTGCAGCCAAAGTCAATCTGGTTGTCTGCCGAAAAAGGGAAAGGGTGTGAAATAGCAGGAACCTTCTCTAGAAAGTAATCATTTTACTTTTAAAAATCTGTTGATTGTATGATATTAAACTGAAATATGTGCAGGAATGGGCAGATCAGCATGGATATGACGTTCACAAACAAAGCAATGCAACCAATGACTGGATTTGCCATCCAGTTGAACAAAAACAGGTATTTTTGTTACCATAATTTTAATTATAGAAAATTACTATTTTTTATATTCGTAAGCATTAAATAAGTTAACAAATTTATTATTAGCTTTGGAGTCACTCCGGCTAGAGCATTACAAGTTGTAAATCCTCTGCCTCCCGGTGTTTCCCATGAGACATCATTACTGCTCAGCACAACAGGAGCCATACAAAGAATGGAACCGCTGACCAATCTACAAGTATTGGATTTTTTTTATCATATTGTAAAAAAACAAGATGATAGAATTTTATTTCCAGGTCGCTGTGAAAAACAATATAGACGTGTTTTACTTTGCCTGTGTCATCCCGATGAATGTGTTTTTCACTGAAGACGGACAAATGGACAAGAGAGTTTTCCTCTCCACATGGAAGGAGATTCCTGCACAGAACGAGGTGAACTACACGTTGAACAACGTGCAGGCGAGCGCGGGTGAATAAACAATTCAGTCTCCCTTTATCCGAGGCTAAACCTACTTTTTAAATTTCAGATATAGTGGTTCAGAAGATGCAGCAAAACAACGTCTTCACAATTGCGAAAAGAAACGTCGAGGGACAAGACATGCTTTACCAGAGTATCAAGCTCACAAATGGCATCTGGGTCCTCAATGAGCTGAAAATCCAGCCGGGAAATCCGGATATAACTGTAAGTTTATTCATATTAAACATCGTGGAACAGTCATTACGGCTCATGTATTTCTTACAGCTTTCCCTCAAATCGAGAGCTTTGGATATAGCGTCTGGAATTTTCCAAGCTTACGATGCCATACTTCACTAACCTATTAGAAATAAATAGATTCCCCACAACTGTAACTGTGAAGGTAAAGAATATTTATTAATTTACCCAAAAATTGTATTAGTAAAAAGAAATCAAATGTGGTAATCTCAATTCATTCCAAGAATGCTACTTTTTATTATTCATATTATTATTGTGTATTATTAATCATCTAACAGCCTGAGGGAGCTTCGTGATTCTTTATATATTTAATTTTATTATACATCATTTCAATTATATTATTGCCAAAGTGATATTGCATTAAAATTATTATAATGGCAATATTGTTATTATTTTAAAAATCATGTTTATCACAATTACAATATGTATGAACCTCAAATTAAGTCATATTTTACTCATTACCCCAACCTACTTATCTCCTTTTTGACATTTATAGGAAGGGCAATTTTGTTAGATACTTTCTACAGTATGATTTTTATGGTTATTTATTTATAAAAAATAATACTAGCATGTTATGATAATTTAAAAAATATATGAAATATAAAAGCATTTAGTGACGTAATTTGGCCATTTTTTCTTCGAGTTCTTCTGCAGTGGGAAGTCGTTCAGATTTTAAGCTGCTTGTGCCAGCAGAGGGAGCTGTAGCTACCTTTAAAAATAAAACAAAAATTGAATATATTTATTTTGTAAAAAAGGAAGAAAACAGAAGTCCTTACCTTTCCTGCTATTTCAATTCCGATTTCATCGAGTACTTTATTAACATACATGTCACATTCTTCTTCATCGCCTGATTCATTGAGGATGTCATCTAAAGTGTCGTTAACTTTAAAAGACAAAGGCAATTTTATAAATTGTGTTTTTGCATTTTCCCAAATGAGACTTACTCATCTCTTCAGACATGTCAATTTTCATAGATGCATTTTGGAATGCTCTAATATCGGCAGCCATTTTTTCAGGTTTTATCACCGCGTTTATGTTTTTCATTGTAGCAGCTGTTGTCGACACGGCATCAGACAATTTAGCGTTAACGCCCATCATACGATTCTGAGACGATATCCCTTGAATCTCAAAACAAAAAAAAGTCAATTGTTTATTTGCAAAATAAAAAGCATAAACATTGAGTAAGTGAGATAAGGCATAATAGCACCTGATTAGATTGGCGTTATTGACCCATTCGAATTGTTACTTATATTCACCTTCGAGTTAAAATTTAAAGATTGGTTCTTCTGTTTCCTGAGCTGGACCAACTGTTTTGCCAGAATTTTGCATGCCGCTGTATTTCCATCTTTTGCTGCTTTTTTTATTTCTAACTCCTGAAAGAAAAAAAAAAGTAAACTTTGATTTCAACGATTAACTTTCCTAAAAAACACTTTAAAATTACAAAGTGTATCTCCCTCGCAAAGAATTTAGTCACCATCATAAAATATCTTTATCTTTCTAAAGACTTTTTAAAATAAAATTAAATATTCTATTAAAAAATAAACCCAGTGTGCATTGAGAAATATTATCCCATAATACTCCTTTTTATATATCATAAAAGGTTGAACAGCAAGTACATGAATTTTGCCATAGATGAAGTTAGTATTGCATCACGGAATTTATAAAAAGAAAAAAAAGTTTTTAGGCCACCCTCATACTTATTTGAATCTCAAAAATTCAAATAGCCTAAGAAGTGTTTAAATACAAATTGCAAGTGTGCGGTCGGCCAGAAAATGTTTTTCTTCTAAAGTTAAAAACAAAATTTCACCACAATGAAAGTGTATCATCATAAGTTAAATATCTATTATCTTGTATCTAGAAGCATCATAGATTTTTCTATATATGACAACTTGGAAGTCAGTCCTTTATAAATTGTATATAAACAAAATATAAAAATGAGGCACTGTATGAAGGGCGTGATCAATTGCAAACAAAAAATTGATAATTACATGTTTATTAGTAAATTAAATTTTATACAGCAACTGTAAAAAAATATAGTTTTTAAAAATAAATTTTTTATTAGTTTTACTTTTTAGTTTTTCACCAGTGTTTAATTATGTCATATTAATTAAAGCTTATCCAATTAGGTAGAATTTTGATAAAATTTTCTAAGGAATCGATTCTATTTATTTAATCACTTTGAATTGATAAGTTTGATCCCGAAACTAGCAAGATATTGTGTACAAATATTAAAATAAACTATGTCTACCCAGACCCAAATGAAATTTTCGTTGAATGTAGGGGGTGCCAGATTGTTTCTTCCAATATAACTTTAAAATAATAAAAAGAATATATGCTGATCCGCAGTATGTTAATAGAAATTTAGGGGTCTCTTATGCTTCTTTGAAAATAATTCTTTTAATTTTACAGATTATCTTGGTCTATCGTTTTTCCATATGGCCATCTTCAGTGGGTCTGTGTAATTTATGTGAATTCAAGTCTCTCTTATAAGGTCGTGGTAGGTTTGTTGGCCTGTGTTTGTTTATCAGGGCCTTTGGTGGATTAAGTCTGGATTTTTTATTGTTCTGGTCAATCATTTTTTTTAATGTTTTATTTTTTATATTGGTATAGAGTTTTGAATGGTGTGAAAGATTTATGTAATTTGTACAGTGAAACTTCCCTTGAACGTATAAATCCCTGGCATCTTCCCATTTTACTGCTCTATAAAGCAGACACTCCCAATAATGGATGTGGACAGCTTTTTCAACTATATTCTGATTCTAGAACTCTCCAAAAGTGGATAGCAGTGTCCAAAAAATGAATGTTTTCCCCTAGGTATTTTGTTCACTTTCCAATATTTCCAAATATTCCAATAGATATTGATTGTGCCTCCTTGAAAACATGTGTATGTACTTCTTCAGTGCATTTGATGTCATAAAGAAAAAATTAATATAATTAAAGCCGAATAAAAGCAAAATACTAAGTGTGTGAGACCTGGTTGCAAAGTTTTCCAACGGAAAGACCCAGGCAAGTGAAATCATAAATTCACTATTTTTCGTGGTTCGCTTGACCAATCAATACAATTCAATTAATTAAGGTTTTAAATTGAGATAAAAAAGTCAGTATCACGAGCAGGATTCGAACCCACGACCTTCGGCTTGATACGCCGCTACTCTAACACTTGAGCTATCGTGACTTAGATCACTTGGGCACTAACTTCCCATCTCAACCCCACCTTCGAATTTTCCCTCCTTTTTGCCATTTTTCAAATGTCGTGTAATCGATTTGATTCTCGGCAACAAATGAAATGGCCACGGAGAGCTTTAGTGAAGTATACTTCATTTTAAATCATTAAATTCACTATTTTTCGACGTCCGCTTGACCAATTAATACAATTCAATTAATTAAGGTTTTAAGAGATGGGAAGTTAGTGCCCCAGTGGATTGAAATCACGATAGCTCAAGTGGTAGAGTAACAGCGTATCAAGCCGAAGGTCGTGGGTTCGAATCCCGCTCGTGATACTGACTTTTTTATCTCAACTTAAAACCTTAATTAATTGAATTGAAATCGTAAAGAATAATAAGGAACTTTTAGATAATTTTTACATGGAAATGACTAATCCTGCATATTTTTCCCCTAAAAGGTATAATACTGACATAGACCAGAATGTATTTGAATGGTTTTGCTGTGGTTGTAAAATATCACTGCCTAGACTGCTTATCCAAGAAAAGTCGTTAGAAGAAGTTGTAAAGCATTTAGGCTAAATGAATTTTAAAGCAAATAAAGTTGGCTCGACAAATTTAGAACATAGCAGAATTTTTTTAAGTGGAGTGAAGGACCAAGGTTGTACAAAACTGGATGGAAAAACTTAAACAATATTGCGCCAATTTTGAACTGAAAATCATTTTTAATTGCAATGAGACCACCTATTTTTTTAGAACACTTCTGAATAAAACTATTCAGTTAAAAATTAGTGTTGTCTGGGAGGAAAATGGTTAAAGGAAAAGCTCGATGAATTTGAAAAACTATATGGTGGCTAAAAATCCTCGGTGTTTCAAAGTTTTGATAATAATTAATTTTGATTTTTTTTTTCCTCCAAGGGCTCGCAAAGGTCATATCAACCCTCAGGGGTGTCGGTGTTTTTTGAAAAAATGCCCATTTGTAAGTATGTCGGGTTTGAATGCAGGGCTGCTGGATTCAAACCCAGGTTATGAGTGTCATGTCAATGCTTCAACCAGTTAAATGTGTTGAAGTTTTTAAGTAACATTTTCATACAATAATAAAGACGGCCAGAGGGTTACTTCACAGAATGATTATCCTAAGCCATGAATCATTTGACCACAAGAACATAAAGATATACAAACAGATCCTCCATAACAATCTCTACCCTAAACACATTATTAACAGAATAATCACCAATTTCAACTCAACACTAACACCATCCACTATTACTAATAATACTACATTAAGTCTATCAAATACAAACAAACCAGCATACATTTCCATGTCATTTATTCATGGCCTATCACATAAATTAAACACATTATCCGATAACTTCAAAATAGCTTTCAAAAATTATAAAACAATTCAACCATTTTTTTCCAAAATTAAAGATCCCACACCAATAACAAACAAATCTGTCGTAATCTACAAGATCAACTGTTTAAACTGCCCGGCAACTTACATCGGTCTTACATCCCAATATCTGGACAAGAGAGTAAAGCAACATATCTGTAATTGCAAAAAACCCAAGCAAAATCCTACAGTACTCGCTACCCACCATTTTGAACACAAACACAATTTCGACTTCAACAATCCAAAAATATTACACAGAACAAAACAAACATAAACATAATTTTTTAGAAATGGTTTACATCAACAGAGATAAACACAGCATCAATTACAGAACAGATACATGTAAACTCAGTCGCAGCTACGTATATTATTAATAAAATTCAATATAGATAACATACATATATCATCTCATCACATTCCACACATCAAACATTTTTCACATATCTAATTCTCCAACAATTTAGCTTTCCTTTTCCTATTTATCCCTTTCTATATAATCCTGAAAGGATAATCTAGTCGAACCATTACTGTTTTTTTCCCTTCGTCGGCTCTTTTCACCTCAAAGAAGCCGATGCCTTGTACAAAAATGTCTTTTCTATACGGACTTCCTTCCCCACCCCTTCAAAATCCAACATATATAAACAGAAAACAGCAATATCTCACTGGCACTCTCAACACGACACGCAAGATGGCACAATTACACAGAAGACAAACACTTTGAGTGAGTAGTAGAAAGTAGAAATCAAAGTAGAAATACTTTGATTGAATATAAAAAATATATTTTGCATTGTATAAATTCACTTTTTTCCACATCCTACATGTATTTGTTAAATGTAAACAATGTTTGTAAATCCCAGGCCCTGAAGATGATCTCAATAAAGATCGAAACATTGCCATGATAAAGAAAATGTTTTTCTGAAACCTACATCACACCAGACCGCATCTCACGATTTCTGAATAATTGTTTTTAAGTAAATTCGTTCACACCAAAGGCTGAAACACATCTGACTTATTAGAATCACACAGACACATTGAAAATGGCAGAATGTCAAAACGTGTCAACCCAGTGAGGATAAGCATACCAAGTTGACCGGTAAGAATCAAATTACAGGTCCATTACACTGCATACCACAGGATCTCCCAAAATAATTATTTTGCCTGCTGTTCTCGAGTTCTTGCGGTAATATCAGACCAAAGAGAACTCTGGATTACATTCCAAATGTCTTTCTCTAATAATTAAAAATCATGTAATATGTGGGATTTGCTCTTGGGTTCTGCAAAGTGTTGAACCTGTTTGGTTGTTCTGCAAGACGGCACGGAGCAGAAACATTTCTGACAGGCTGAAACAGCGAGGATAGGCAGACCGAAATCAGCCGAAAACGACCAAACTACAGTCTTTTTAACCCTGATGTGTACCCACCTAAAATTTCGCAAAATGTGCTTTTCTTTCAACTTCTTTTAAATCAGCCAAAAGTATCGCATAAAAGAAGATTTGAAGTAGTTCCACATTAGCAACAGGGGCTGCCCGATGCATTATCTTTTAAAAACAAAGTTGATGCATCACTTTGGTTGAATGAGAGTTGGGGCAATCGTAGAAGTGGTTTTGTGCCAAGGGCGTCTCCGGTGCCTGTGCCACTACACCGGAACTACCAAAACCCACAATTATAAATAAAATTATAAATAAATACCAATTTTTTTTCTTCCCTTTCGATCTCCCTCTTCTCCCTTTCAACGTCCCTGGAAGCTTTGCGAAGATTTTTCTCGTTGGCTCTCTGTTGCTCTGCAACAAGTCAACAATGAGTCATCCTGCCACTCAGTCCATAAAGTCAATTGTTACCTTTAAGCGTTGGTTGTTTGTTGAAAAACCAGTCCATTCTGGTTAAACTTAAAAACAGGCACAGTATAAAAAAAATGTTTCAATACAAGAGTGAATAAAAGTATTTCACAAGAGGCACTTTGGTGAACCCATGTCAGAGCCTTTACAAGTGATATCAAATAACTGGCGCCTTGAAATGCCATTTCAAAACAGCCAAAAATCGATTTTCCAACTGAAATTTCACATCTTGATCAGGCAAATAAAGTGTTCATTATAAATTTATTACGATCTTTTAGATAGATCCAATCAGATTCATGAGCGTCAAAACGATAAGTTTGTCCAAAATTAATTAATTTGTATTCGTCCAAAAGGGTTGATAATGGTATTGTAGAAATCGATTGTAAGCCGTCAATTTTGAAACCTCTACAAATTCTAAAATCCGCTGGCTTTTGATTTGTTTGTGGATCATTTTTCTGAAAGTCATGGCCACATTTTTTGGAGAAGTGATCCTTCCTTCGTCGAGGGTGTTTTTCGACAACGACGACTCCGACTTCGAGGACGACGACGTCCTCCAGAGCTCCAATACGTGGTTTGTCCCTGATTTTCAATTAAAGAAATCGCAACAATAAATCGTTAATTGACAACCGGCCAATTCAAAATAATCATGATTTTGTTTTATATTGTTCCCACAGTTTTAAAATCGACTAATAAATTTTGTTAAACAGAATAAAAGGTCATTTTGACTTGAACGGAGACTTCAACGTTAAAAAATTAATTGCCTTGAAGCAGTGTTAAGTGTTAAGCTGCCTGCAAGTCATTCAACACTTGTCATCATCCTCAACTGTCTTCACTAAAAGATTAGAGAATCTAATTGTGCACAGCAAAATAAATAATAATAAAATTGCATTTTTAAAATGTCTGACAGACCAAAACAGCAAGGTTAGGTAGACCAGGACAATAAATGATCAAACTATGATATTAAAATTGTGGATAGTTCATATGATAGTTGACTAAAACGTGTATTTTTGAAAAACTAGAATCCTGGGGATAAGGTTTGTGCAATAGTCAATTTTTTTCTGCAAAAATAAAGTTAAGTAATACTGTGTGTGATGTTTAGAGTCCGTTACTTGATGACTATTTGGAGGTCGTGAGATGCAGTTTGGTGTGACTTATGTTTTAGAAAAATATTTTCTTTACCGTGCCAACGTTTCGATCTTTATTGAGATCATCTTTAGGGCCTGGGATTTACAAACATTGTTGGCACAATAAAGAAAATGTTTTTCTAAAACCTACGTCACACCAGACCGCATCTCACGACCTTCAAATAATAATCGTAAAGTAATACTGTTATACACATAAGGGGTTATGATCAGTTTACAATTTTTAACATATTTTGAGCCTTTTGGCAGATTGAATAAAGATTTTAAAAACCATCCTCCACTGAGACCTATTTAGATCTATGGAACGCCAATAAATTGATAACATTACATTGGAAAGTGCACTTTTTAATATAAGCCAAAGCACTTTTCGGTGCCTCTTCGAGCACCTCTTTTGGTATGAGAATTGCCTTATAGAAGTGGCTGTACCGTAACCAGGCTACTGCTTCACATTCATAAAGCATATCTGGCAATGTCCCTGTTCCTCCTGGCAGAGTCAGCATGTTTCTGTCTGCTTTACCCACCATCTTTTAGGTGGTAGTTAAGAGGGTGTAGAGGCTTGTAATTTTCCTCAAATCCTGCCTGCTGAGAAGTTCTTTAGCCTTCCTTTTTGAGAGATTTATAAATCTCATACCTGTTGCTTTTGTCCAGCATTTGAGTTTTTCTTTCTCATGCCATTTTTTCAGTATATGTGTTTTTGGTCTCATGGGTGAGAAGGGAGCACCTTTTTTTGGCTAGTTGGTCAGCCTGTCATTAACATCTTTACCTTCATGCCCTAAATCCACTTTAATGTAAATTTGCTGTGTTTTCCTAGAGCCATTAGGTGATTTAGGCACTCCTAGATGCGTTTGGGATTGAAAGCATGCATTTAGTGCCTTTATGGCTGCCTGACTGTCAGAGTATGTAAATCTATGCACCTTTCATATTTATCTTATTTAACTCCTGTGTACAGAAAATAGTTGGGATTAGTCCAAAGTCCTTTGCTAGGGTACAGTAAAGATCTTTTACCCCTATACCTACACCCTGCTCTATCTTGCATCCATTTATGTATTTATTCTAGGGCCCCTTCCTGAAACTTGGGACTACCTTTCTTCCAAAATTGTATTATCCATGAAGACTTGGAAGGGCCTGTCAAAGTTGAGTTTTATTCACATTTTGTCAGGTACCGTTATAACCATCTCATTTATTTTAATTCTTTCCAGAATTTTTTGGTGGCTCCTCCTTAGATGTGGCTTTATCGTTGTCAGTCCCAAAAGCCACTTCTTGTACATAAATATGTAAGGGTGGAAGGTCAAGTGCAGTTTTCTTTGTAGTGGGACAGGTATGTACTGCCTTTCTTGTATTAAGGCATCATCATACATTTTTTATTTAATTGTTCACAAATAAATATCCAAAGGCTTAGCTGGGATTCGAACTGATGCATTTGTGGTATTCTTAAAGAAGCGAGTTCAATAATCAATCTTTTGTTGTTTGTATAACCACAAAATTTAATCAATATTAATTTCTCCTAAGATAGGAATATCTCATGAACTTCACCGCCTCTTTTTCCAGCTTCCAAGAAGGAAAGAGGTGTTTCCATTGGGTCTGAAATATGTGTAGGCAAGAAAAAGAGGTTGTTAAATTCATTAAATATTTTGTAAGACTTAATGTTGAGTTTGTAATTGATATAAAAAGTGATGATACATGTCATTCACAAGTGGAGGTTCGAAAAAAAGAAAAAAAAATTATCAGTTAGTCATGTATCTGGGTGTGGGGGATTGGTTTTAGTAATTTTAACAATGTTATTAAATACTGGAATAATGGAAATCCCCCCCCCCCCAGCCGAATGATTCAAAAGTCTAAAAAGACTCATAATCATCCTACAATTAATCTATTGCGCATAATGAGCAAAATCCTCAATAAAGTCTTACTTAAACACCTTTCCTCTTATTTCATTTCTGTAACCTTATCCCTGATCATCAGTTTGGGTTCAGACGTTGTCATTCCACTATTGAGCTGTGGCATTGCATTGTAGAAATTGTAACTGCTCTTGAGCAAAGGTAATGCTGATCTAATATATTGATATATCTAGTAAAACAAGCCTTTGATCTGATATTACACTCGGGGTCGCTCTGGAAGCTTAAGTTTTTAACCCTTTGTTTTTTCCCTCAGACACTAACTCCTCATCACAATCAACAACCTTTCGAATTTTCCCTCTTATTGTCATATTTTCAAATACCATGGGTTTGAATCCTGCTCATGGCACTCTCTTTTTCATCTCAACTAAGTCATTAAATAAAAAGTATTAATTAATTTAAATAATTAATTCAGTCAATTAATAGTGTTAAACACATATATGGATTAATTTGTATTTTGAGGGGCCGCTGATTCAAACTCGGGACCTTTACCTTACATTGTTGAGCACCAAAGCCTAACCCATTGCAGCCACTGACCCCTCCCCATTAATTGTTTGGGGCTGACCCCTACATCACCGTTTTTTTAATTACAATAAGAACAATTAAAATGAAATGAATAAATATTAGAATCCAGCATTAATTAATGATTTCACTTTTTTTATTCTTCGTGTGTTACTGAATATTCCAAAAAATGTTTTTTAACATCACAATGATGTTGACATATAAGATATGGGAATTAAAATTAATCTGAGAAATGTGTGGTGTTTAGTGACCGTTAGCCAATGATACGGTCTGGTGTGATGTAGGTTTTGGAAAAACATTTTCTTTATCATGCCAACGTTTCAAACTTTATTGAGATCATCTTCAGGGCTCAAAGTTTTTCTTTTCCATGTAGATGTGTCATTCAACAGTTGACTCTCAACACGACACACAAGAATACGAATAAGGAAAACAAACACTTTGAGCCCTGAAAATGATCTCAATTAAGATCGAAACGGCATGATAAAGAAAATGTTTTTGTAAAACCTACGTCACACCAGACCACACCTCACAATCTGCAAATAATCTTTAATCTGAGAGTTTTACTTTAGACTAATATGTATATTTTATTGTATTATAGCAACTTACTTGAGCTTAAAGAACTCTTACCTAATGCTTTAACTGGGGACTTTGACCTTTTGATAATCGCCGAAGGGAATGTGGCCAAAGGTGAATACAAGATTTTTAATTTTTTCTATTAAGCCGTCATATCATTATAATTTTTTTTTTAGGTTTCACCGATAATTACCTGCTGGAATCGCCAGGCATGCCGATTGCCGAAATCAATCTCAAGCAGGATGAGACTAAAGAGCCGATGGACATTATGGAAGTGAAACCACCGAAGACGCAGCCTTCATACATCTATTCGCTCGACTTGCATACACGACTTGTGATTGTGTCTCCAGCAATCAATCTCACCCTTGCCAACAATTTGCTTATTACTGTAAGTATTTCCATTCTTTGCAATAGAGTCATTAAAAATAATGTGTAATTGACAAGATTGATTTTCAAAATGTGACTATATTGATTTTTTTAAAAATGTGTACAGTTGCAGGATTTTATACAGAAAAGTAAATCTGTGTTCGTCCTTTGCAACAGGCCGTCAGCAGATTTTCGTTGTGATTCGATAAATGACCTCCCCCCAGCGTTTATCAGGATGCTCAACACGTCGAATTCCGATTTAGAAGGCATACCCCCTTGTCAAATTCTGGAACAGCCCAATTTCATTTCCGGATTCGCAGCATCAGGTATTTCATTCCCGTATAATAAAATTGCAACAGTCAAACAGTTTTGTATATATTTCAGTTATATCTTGGTGCGAGTGTACACGAAAAAACTGTAAGCTTTATATTGTCTACACCGACAGGGCTGTGGTCGACTCTGTCACTCTGAAGCCGTTTGTTGACCTCTTCACAAAGCAGAACCGGCTCAAAGGTCTCTTGACGCATACCCTTGCTGCAAGATTGTCCACATCTTCCGAACAGTGCTTTATGTACATGTAACCTTATTTTATTTGTTTATATATTTTTTTTAATGTACTTTGGTTACAATTAAATAGTACAAATTGAACCATCACTTTCTTTTTTACAGTATGAATTTTTTTTTAATTTTTTAAGTGTAAGCAAAAAGTTAAGAAAAAATTACCAGGTGGTTTCCTTCTTTTCTATTTTTCATCCACACATAAAATTACTATTTTATATAAAATAAGATCAATTTTACATTTTAAAACTGGCTGTACTTGAAAAAACTCATTTTTTCAGTACCAAATCATATAAAATAAAAAAATTGTAAAAAGCTGACTAGTTGTAATAAAAAGTTTAAGTATTATTGTACTTGAACTTAACAAAGTCATCATGATGTCCATGTCAGTAATATTATAAAGTTGACTAACAACAGACACATGCTACAGGTAGTATGACAAGACATTCTTTATACCAGAACTTACATCTTCACTGGAAAAAAAAGAAAGCTTGAAATCAATACATCTCCTTATACAAATTGTTTAAATGTATATTCAAATTGTGATATGTACAATTAAACAGGGAAAAAGGTTAGTTTGAATGCACTAATTGTTATTTACAAGTAGTTGTGAGTAAAACAATGTTTCCTGTGAAACGTAGATATGATATCTTTCAGAGAGATCCAGGAAAGAATTTATCTTTGTATCAATTTTTTTTTAAATACAATGAATAAACTGCCTCTTTGTTTATTCACCTGTTGCTCAAATACATTTAAGATTTAATAAAATACAATTTTATAATTAAAAATTAAAAACGCCAAACATTGAAAGACTTTTATTTACCTTTTAAGGTTTTCAAATAAATGTATTCACAAAAATATGATTTGGAAACATTTTTTTAATACTATACACAATTGTCATAAATTAACAAATATATAACATACATGTATTAATTATTTTCTCAACATTAAAAAATTTGAAACAGTCTTAATTTATATTCTGATGGAGATAGAACATTTAATCAAATTGAATCAAAATTTATCAACACAAAGTGTCTCCATGTTACAATTGTTTTGTTAATACCCTAATATAAAAGCCAATATGTTGACGGGGGAGAGGGATTTTTCATTCTTGACTTTCTTTCAAAATTAGAAATTACAGTTTGCATAATGCATAAAGTAGAATTGAGCGGTGGTAAAGAATAAATGCATGAATTATCATTTTATCAGCGAGAACTGACAGCTCTAAAAAATACACACATGATTTAATACAAATATACTCACTTTTTAGTCGAATTTTTAAACTTAATTTAACCTTCTGGGCTCTCTATAGTATTTGTTTACTAAATATAAAACTAGGGCCCTGTTATCTAGTGATATATAATCAGTATACAAAAAGTCACTAACAAATTATATAACGTGTGGTGATTAGTGACAGTTATTCGATGATTATTCAGAAATCGTGAGATGCCATGTTGATACCAGACCGCATCTCACGATTTCTGAACAATTACATAACTTTGTTCAATTGTATCTAAAAAATAGGCAAGAACTATCAAAAATACTAGATTATTTTTTTGTTTTATATCCTTAAAATTATATTTGTAAAATAAAATTAACAATACTTGTATCAAAGAGAGGAAAATTTTGTTTTCTTGTTCGATTCAGTCGCCGTAGTTCACTTCAACAATTTTTCGTCAGGCTTCTGCACACTTCTGCCGACGGGTTCATGACTTCACATTCAACATCGATCTTCATTCCTGAAATATAAGATCCAACAGACAAGTCACCCAAAACAATTTCTAAATTTTAATTGAACACAAAGACAATTTCTGTTTGCATGGCTTGATGCCATTTATGTTAGTAACTATGCTGGCTGCTAATGAGTAATAAAATGTTAGTTTTATGGTGTCACTTAAATAAGCTGTTATAAGAGAAATGATGCTGGTTTGTGAGTTTGAATGACACTCAAATGCCAGAAAATCACTGCACTTACCCGCAGCTCATCTTCTCCAACAAGATTCTTCTTAACTTACCATATTCTCTACCGGTATCTGTATCTGAACCAAAAACAGTGCAAAAATGATTCTTTTGTTCACTCACACCATCATCAAATTCATTTGTCACAGATTTCATAATTATAGCAATTATATTAGCAATAATTAAATTATATACATTTATTATGAGATTATGTAGACATGGCACTCATGACTGTAAGGTCCCAGGTTTGAATCCAGCAGTCCTGCATTTGAACCTGACATACAAATGGGCTTGTTTTTCTCAAAAACACCAGCACTCCGATGGTTGATATGAAAAGTATTATACAGTTTAAAAAATTAATGTATTTAATTTCTTAATGATTGTAAAAAGAGGTGTTAGAAAAAACTAAAAGTTGTTTAGTTCAGTGCTCTCACCCAAATCCGAATATTCCAGTAATCCAAACTAGGAAAAATTCAAAAAGTAGAGAATATTTTGGGAGGGGGAGAAAGCGTGAGTGAGAGATAGTGATGAGGAAGTGTATGAAGAGAAAAAGAAAAGAGAGAGAGAGTGAGTGAGGGAGTAAGTAAGAGAAAGTGTGTGTGAATTAATATAATTTTATTTAAAAAATCTGTGAGAGTGAGCAAGAGCAAGAGAGAGAGACCTACTTTAAAAAAGAAAAAAAATATATATGTTAATAATATACACAAATTTTTATTATTTTTTATGTAATTTAATTTTTATATTTATACATATATCGATTTTTCGAAATGAAAAGTTTGTGTGGTAGGCAGGATTTTAGCCCATGATCTTTGGATCAATAATCAGATTCTATAACCACTTGAGCCACCATGACTTCAACAGCCTATGCCATTTTGATTTCCATTTATTCTAATTTTAAGGAAACTGACTTCATATAGAAGCATATTTTTATTAACTGTGACTTCATATAGAAGCACATTTTATTAAAGATTGTATGCAGTATGCTTACAGTTAAAATAAATAAGTAATGGTAAATCAAAATGAGAAGTTCGTGGCATCGGCGATTGAAGTCACACTAGCACAACTTGTTATAGCAATGGAGTATTGATCCAAAGAACATGGGTTCAAATCCCTCCTGTGACACAAATTTTTCATTTAGAAAAATTGTGCATAATTAATTGAGTGTATATATCATTATTACTGATTATTCGGATTACTGAGAAAGCCCTGTACTTGGTTTATGATTGATTATTTATTCAACACATATACCAAATGTGTGTTGGGTTATGATCTCACCAATTATATGATCTCAATGCACACTAATTATGATATTTAGTTCTGACCCCACCATTGCAATCAGCTGTGGGACATAGATAATTAATAGATTGATATATGACAAGTAATATAATTTATACAGAACATTTTGTCTAGTGAAGCATGTACCATAGCGCAGGACTTGTCTTCATATTCCTGCTCCTTTCTTCAGTTAAATTATGCAATTATGATTCATGGCAAATGCGATGAAACATAATGAAAAGTACACACTGACGTTTTATACATTATAATCCAAATAATTCACTAAGGTTGGTGTGAAGAATTTACGAATACATTTCACTTCTTGCCTTCTTCCTCCATGAATGACGTTTGTTTGTGCTAATTCTTTTGAAAATTAAATAACAAAAGATGCACACTTCAGACTTTATTAGATGACCTTTTAACTGTTCATTATTTTAACAGATTTTTGAATATTTGAATAAATGTACACTTATTCTACTAGTTTTGTTTTTAATAAATTACATAATTTGCTGACATTTTTTGTATACTTTTTTCTATTAGACTAATTTAGCCATCAATGTATTTTTATGATCACTATGTGTCTGCTATGATTTACCATCAAGGCACAAATTTTTTTTTTTTTTTTTCAATGGATACCAGGAACTGGAGGAGTTCCCTCCTGATCACTGCAGCTGTACAGCTTATTGTACTTTATCCCTGGCTCCATTTTTGGGGGCTCGCAACACTAGTGTGATTTTGAGCCCCCGGTGTGCCGGTGTTCTTCCATCGAAGAAACTCATTTTTGAAGGGGGTTGGGAGATCTGATCCCCTCCTCCCATTGATGAGTGCCGTGTCAATTTCTTTCAATTGCGGCCACCGGTCCCCTTAGGCATCAGAAAAAGTCCAGCGGCAATGGTGGGGATCGAATCAACGACCATGGGATCTACTAGCCGAGAGTCTGACACCTTAACCACTCGGCTACCGCGGCCCCCCCTCTATCTTTTAACAATAAAGATTTTAAAAAATGTTGAGAGTGATAAGTTTATTTTGTGCTTTACATTTTTAAACATGGAGAGAAAGCTAGAATGAAAGGCTGAAAATTAAATTTACCCAATTCAAATTTACATACAACTATGACATCAATTAGCATCTCAGACAACCAATATTTTACCATGTACACAATTCAAATGAGGAGTAATGATGTTAAATTATCTAGTGATTAATTATATTTCAAACATAAAATAAATTCTGATTAGAAAATCTAAATCATAATAAAAATTTCAAGCACCCTCATAAAAAATAGAAGGTTTAAAAAATAAGAAAAATATATAAATTAGCAATATATTTAGTTTTTGTTTAAAAAAATTAAATAAATAAATTATCACAGTTGTATAAACATTAGATTCTCTGATAAGAATACAAATTAAGTATATGTCATTTTAACTGATAAATATTTTGTTTGTTCCTGAAAGATTGGCAACTTACCCTCTCTATCTTCTAATTTGAAACACCTCACCAGCGAGAGGGCGAGGCCTCCGACAATTGGCGGAATACCGGCGAGCAAGAATGGCAGTGTATACGACTGAGTGTGGTCGTAGATCAGGCCTGAAATGAAAAAAATTTAATTTAAAAATGGAAAAACTTCATATTATCATTTATTTACCCGCTAACGGAGGTCCGACAGTCAGTGGGATTGAGCAGAACCCCAGGAGAAACCCAATCGCCTGCCCTGCACCAGACTGGCCGCAGATGTCAAATGCGATCGGACCAAGTAGAGAAATGAAACATCCGTCAAAAAGGCCCATCCCAAGTGCAATCAGCAGTAAAACGTAAAAATTGTCTGTTACTGTCATCAACATCGTCAACGTACCAATTACAACAAAAGATACCTAAAAAATATAATCACCAATAAGCAAAAAGTAAAAAATATAAAAACCCAATAAACATTATGTGTAAATGATTATCAACTATAAATATTAACCTGTTGAAGGAATATTCTGTCTATGTTTGGAATATCGGCAATTTTTCCAAAAACTAGCCTTCCTATGCCTGATGTGCAGCCAATGCATAAGACCAAAAGCTTGCCGTCTTCACCTTCGAATCCTTCGTTTACAAATTTAACCTGTAAAACATTTATATTTACACGATCTATTTCAATTCCCTTGTATGTAAACCAAATAAAATGTACCATGTGAACATAAGGCACAAAATACCCAAAAAGGGCTAACGGAATCAAAAGTGCCCAGATGACGTATCTTTTATTCCTCCAAATGTCAGTGTTCAAAAGTGATTCAAGCTTCTTTTTTTCTATTTTGGCCTGTGGAAGTGGCTTGAAAAGAAGTGCGCATAGCATCAACCCTGCCATAAGGAAGCTCAGACATCTACATAAACAAAGTTTAATAGTTTCTATTCAACTCATTTTATCCAATAAACTAATTTTAATTTTAAATGAATATTTTTAAGAAGGGCAGGATCAGAAAGCATTATGCTGTTTTAAATGTTGTATGTTTATATACCTGATTGTGTTTGCAAGTGCAACCTTTAAAAGCAGCATGTGGATGAGGTAAGGCATGACCATTGTAAAAACTGAGCTGCCCATGGTCACAAAACCATTCACAAGGCCGAGGTACTTTCGGAAATAGTGGCCAAGTATGACCAAAGAAGGGGTGTAAGCGAGAGAAGCACCAACGCCAAACATCACCCCATATGTTAGGTACAGAGCACCGACCTAAAATGTGAATAGCATTGAAATGATGATCGTTAAAATATATAGAATTTCAGTACATTGTGTGTGAGGAATGAGGAAAGAAAAAGGCCGAGGGATGCCAGGAATCCACCGATCAATGTTGTCAACCTCACACCGATCCTGTCTGTCATTATCCCGGCTACAGGTGAAAAGAAGAACGTCGTCCCGATTGCCAATGAACCGACTAATGCTGTGAAATAAATTAAATAATAAAATTGTATAAAATAAACAAATTTCATTTGCATGAAAATAGCAATTTTCATGCAAAATATCAGACTGCTGATAAGTGATAAATTTAATTTTTGATTTGTTAATAAAATTCTTTGTTTGTTAGTAACAATAACACTTGTTTTTCTTAAATACCTATTTTAATCTTTTTTTATAAATGACATCATTTTTAGAATCAAAAATGTGTATCAGTGATATTAGAATGAGCAGAAAGTTTTAATTTTAATAGATACGAGCATTTAGATTAAATACATTTTTAATTTCCTAAAATAAAACAAAAATTATCTGTACTTTTGTAAGATAATGATTGTCATTAATTGACCAAAATAGAAAACCTGCTAAAATTACAGTTTCAATTTTTTTTCCAGTTTCAAATTTGAAACGTATAGAAATGTGTGGTGATTAGTGACCGTTAGTCGATGATTATTGAGAAATCATGAAATGCGGTCTGGTGTGATGTAGGTTTCAGAAAAACATTTTCTTTATCGTGCCAGCGTTTCGAACTTTATTGAGATTATCTGCCGGCCCTGGGATTTATAAACATTGTTTAAATTTAACAAATAGATGTGGAATGTGGAAAAAAGAGAATTTACACAATACAAAAATATATTTTTTATATTCAAAGTATTTCTACTCACTCAAAATGTTTGTTTTCTGCGTAAGTGTGCCATTCTTGCATGTGTTGAGAGTACCAGTGAGATATTGCTGTTTTATGTTTATATACGTATAAGGAGTCAGCGTCTCTTAGGTGAAAAGAGCCGACGAAGGGAAGAAATGTTGGTAATAGTTCGGCCAGATTATCCTTTCAGGATTATATAGACGGGGATAAATAGGAAAAGGAAAGCTAAATTGATGAAAAAATTGACTATATAAAACTGTTTGATGTGTGGAATGTGATGAATGTTTTATATGTTATATTATACGTTTTGTGTGATGTGATGATATATGTGTGTTATCGATATTGAATTGAATTAATGATATTGGCGTAGCTGCGACTGAGTTTACATGTGTTTGTTCTGTAATTGATGCTGTGTTTATCTCAGTTGATGTAAAAAGTTACGTTTATGTTTGTTTTATTCTGTGTGTAATATTTTTGGATTGTTGAAGTCAAAATTGTGTTTGGGTGTGTTGTAGTTTGTAAAAGTGTGTAACTTTTTAGAAATGGTTTACATCAACCGAGATAAATACAGCATCAATTACAGAACAGACACATGTAAACTCAGTTGCAGCTATGCCAATATCATTAATCAAATTCTGTATATAAACATAAAACAGCAATATCTCACTGGCACTCTCAATACGACACGCAAGAATGGAACACTTATGCAGAAAACAAACACTTTTGAGGAGTAGAAATACTTTGATTGAATATAAAAAATATATTTTTTGCATTGTATAAATTCACTTTTTCCACATCCTACATGTATTTGTTAAATGTAAACAATGTTTATAAATCCCAGGCCCTGAAGATGACCTCAATAAAGATCGAAACGTTGGCACGATAAAGAAAATGTTTTTCTGAAACCTAAATCACACCAGTCCACATCTCACGATTTCTCAATAATCTTTGAAACGTATATTAATGAGATGATAGACTAAACCCACATGTTACCTGAGTGATGCCGGTCGGGTTTTCCGGCGCTACCCCCCCCTCACAACTAAGTTCCAGCAAAGTATTTTCTTTGTTTAGCATCAAACAATTCCACCGAGAAAAAAAAATTATTCCCCTTTTAATAAACATTGCCTATTATTTTGTGCATATTCGAAGGCCGTGTGACGTTGTTGACGAAGTCAAAATGGACGTAAACAGCATCAACTTGTTGACTTTATTGGCTCTCGATTCTTTAAAACAAGAAACGATATCAATCCCTCGTCACTTTACAGTATTGAATGTTTCATTTAAAGCTTCTTTTTTTACCGAGATATCTCTGTGACGTGCAATGGATCAATTTCCGCTGAAAATTGCGAAAGAACCGAGAGATCAATTATTGTTAAACCATTTATAATATTTTAAAGAAGGGTAAATTAATTAGACATATTTGTACTGCGGAGTGTGTTGTATATGGTGGACTATCACCCGATGTGCTGACCCTGATGTACATCATCAGGGCAGTTCACCTACCCCGTTTTTTTTTTATTGTGTTTTTTTTTTTTTTTTTTTGGCCTTATGATCTTGCATATTAGCCATAGTACGAATTCTTGTGTGTTCAAATTGGGGGTTATCGGGAAAAAAGGGCCCCACACACAATATTAATAATATAGTAATTCAGATATCGTGAGATGCGGTCGGGTGTGATGTAGGTTTCAGAAAAACATTTTCTTTATCGTGCCAACGTTTCGATCTTTTATTGAGATCATCACTCTCAACACGACCCGCAAGGATGGCACAATTACACAGAAGACAAACACTTTGAACCCTGAAGATGATCTCAATAAAAGATCGAAACGTTGGCACGATAAAGAAAATGTTTTTCTGAAACCTACATCACACCCGACCGCATCTCACGATATCTGAATTACTATCGATTAACGGTCACTAATCTCTACACATTAATAATATAATCTAAATTCTGGTCGACTGGAGGGGCGATGGTTATGCTGTGTTTCACTATCACCCCGAACATTAATAAATACACGCACTCAATCAAAACATATAACCAAAAAACATAAAACAGATCTATATACATAAAACAGAGTCCTCCACGTCCTCCAAAACAGGGGACGAGAAACTCGCTACTGTGCCCGATTCGTAAATTCGGCGGCTTGCTTACACGCTCTCTGTAGCGAGCCAAGGGATGACAAGCTTCTGTTATATGGGACACACCGAGCAACTTTTCTCTGCATAAGGGCATATGCGCGGGCTTTAACCCAGGAGCAGATGCCCGTGTGTATACTGTGCCATAATCATGCAATTTTCATTCTGGAATAACATTTTAGTTGGACATCATTTTTTACTAAGAAAATTAATTTAAAAGTCCCCCCTAATCTGGAACTGGTTGTGGGATTCGCCAAAATACAGCAGGACAAAACAGAAGATCTGGGAAAATGGGAATATATTTTGTCAGCAATATGGCAAGAAAATTACGATAGTCAAAAAATAGAATAGATCTTAAGACGTGTTCTTCTATTCACTTTACCAAATTAAAAGAAGAATGATCTATTTAGGTTATTTGTACATTTTAAGGCATCAAATCATAGATCAGCTACTATTTTATTGAGGTACTATGCCTACAACGCTCGTTAGAAATATTAGATAGCTGATCTTAATGATTTTATACTTCTGGAACAGGGTTTGCATGGATTTCAGGACAAAAGTTGCGTTAGATTAATTTTTTTTGGATTCTCGAGTAGTGGGAACCTATTATACTGTGGATTCGCCAAAATACAGCAGGACAAACAGAAGATCTGGGACAATGGGATCATCTACTATACAATAATATCCTTTTTTAAACATTTGAACGATTTAAAGTTAGTCCGTTTATTGTTATTTTGTAAATTGAAATTGTCGTCGTTGCAGTTTTCGGTCTAATTTGTGCAATTCGAAGGACGAACCCCTGAAATTCAGTCGACAGTTCCTTTTGTGTTTGTCTCCTTGGACGAATTGTGTAACGCGTTTACGTACATTTTCTAAACAATCCCTGGAAGGAAGGGCTTCTAAAATCGTTGTGTGTCCAGCTTACTGATCTAATTTTAGCACACTGGGCCTAAAAGGCAGTTTGCCAAAATTGTTTGGACCTGGAGACGCATCAGACAAATAGCTTCCGTAGGTTTTAATAAAAGAGCGATTGTATGATATGAAACACATCAGAACAACTTTTAACAAGAATTACAGGAATATAATAATTCATTCTATGGCAAATAGTTCGACAAAATCGGCTGAGAAAGCTTTGTGAAGCTGATCTCAAATATCACTGTTCTATTTAACCTACTTAAAAATAAGGTATATCGAGAGAAAATTATACAAAGGGTATTTTCCTTTATGATAAAAACGATTTGTTTTTCCAGTTCGATAGTAAAAACAAATTTTGAATAGATAGTACAGTATAAGACACTCGTTTACTATGTAATCTTATCGGATATTTTATAACGAGAATCAATCGTAGAAATATCGCAACTATTTTTCAAGAGTCAATATTGCAGTCAAGCGGTTGGACGCAAACAACAGTAACATACAAAAATAAATGATCCTAGGAGTGAAAAAAATCATCAACAGTCGGAAGAAAAAAATTAGCTTGTCATCTTCTGATCATTTTGGCCTGTATATCCTCGCCGTTTTGTTGTTATTAGACGCGTTTCTTCTTCCGGCCATCGTCAGGACCGTAAGGAGGGTAAGACAAGACGGAAGAAAAAGAAAAGCATCTAATTTACTAAAAGCAGCCAAATTTTGGTGAACTTGGGTTGATTTCAGTAAATCGATCGCATTGGTGGTATAAATCGCCTTGCGAATTTTTGGTGTAAAATCAAAAAGTATTGTTAGCTGCTGGTCTTCTAAGACTGGCTAATTGTGGGGTATTGCACATTTCATTTTGTGAAAAAAGCCTGCAGAGCTGATTCAGCTGTACCCACAGTCAACAGTTTGGCGCCATAAATGCGTACATAAATAATACTGCACTCGGCTCTAAAACGGCGTCAATGGCTCAGGGAAACCCTTCAGGCCAATAGGCAATGAAGATGTCCTGCGAACCCGGTTTTTTACCTGTCTTCACAGATAGCTAAAATTTTTTCCTTTCGTTTTTCGATATTCAAAGACCCAGCAACTCTTTTTTACGACGACTGTTAATCCCCTGTTGTCACTGGCAGTGTCATGTTTGGTATGCCCACATGCATAGTCATTTCTGCTTCAAGCACACACAGCCAAACACTTGGTGAGCTCCTTAAGCAACCCATCCTTATCCTGCAGATACTGCGAGGAGTGGCAATCAATCAATTATTATTGATTGGCATTTTGTTGTCATGTAAAGG